AAAAACATGCACTGCGTCCTAGCAAACATGGTTACAGTAACTCTTTCATCCATCGAATTTGCTGTGTCTTCTGATTCTTAATTTCGTTACTGGATGCCCGCTCTAAAACGGAATGTAATCACATCACACATTTCTGTCATTGAGCTTCACGATGCTCCACGGACATCATGGACTTGAGCCCTTGAGCCGTGATATTTACACCCAGCCGGCATGTTCTTTAACCCACTCTTTTGGATCTTGCTATATAATGCTATATAGGCTATATAACTTAGTATAAATCCTTTCTAGTTGCATCTGAGTCATCTGGTTCCACTATTATGTTCCCCTATGTTCCATGTTCCACTGTTTCATCTGATCCCAAACCTGTCCCAAACCCGTTCCACCTGCTCGGTCCCGACCCCACCTGCTCGGCGGCCCGGGCCACGAAGGTCCGCCGGGGCGGGTCTCTGCGGGGGTCCGGGGCATCGGCCTCAGCAGAGACCCTTTTGATTCCTTTTGCATCCCTTTCTGAACCCGAAAGAAAATTATAGGAGTGGGGTGACCGGGTGTTTTGAAGGTACGGTTGTATGATATATTTTGATGGTTGTATGATTTGGTAGTGTTGATTCCCTCCATTCTTTTGGAATGAGACATCTGACGTGACGGGGAATTCTGACTGAGGCATTCTGACTGCGGATTCTCACAGTTGTACAGAACTGTCTGGAAGCTAAAGGCTCTTACAAAGCCCCTGTCACCATGAAAGACATCAGAAAAGACAGCAAAGAGAACTGATGTCGATTTCAGCTGCATCCAGCCCTTCCCAGCTTCGTGCTGCACCAGCTGCACCAGCTGCTCCAGGTGCCCGGCAGGAGCTTGTGACGCTTCGTCTTCCGAATCCGAGAAGTGCTGCACTGTGGGCCTTTGAGGCAAATCCAAAGGCTTTTCGATTCAAAGTAGTAGTAAGGCCAGGAGCCCCGAACGTAGCGTCCTTCGATTCGTGTTTTCGCCGTCGTTCATCGGTCGACACCGGTCTCAGCGAGCGGCGGTTGGCGACACTCAAGCTGGGTGTGGTAGATGCTCTGGAGAATGGCGACCTCAGCATCATTATGGACTCAAAGAAATGGATATATCATGAGGGTTGGAGGTATACCCCTATCATATACCCCTAGAACGTTACAATATGGCCACTATATAGCATTATATAATGATTATATTGCATAATATAAGCTCTATCTTATATAATATAGCTCTAAACAATGACATCTGCCCAACAGATTGCATGGCAAACATTGAACTCATGTGGGTTGGCCTGGGCTCACTCAATTATTGAGAAACATAGTTGATGGTTTTGGGGTGTACCTTACCAAACAGCAAGGAATACTTGTTTTCAGAAGTCCACACCATTTGTGCACTGGATAGTGAGTGGATAGTGGTTGGCTTTGGGGTAGACCTGGCCAAATAGCAAGGAATACTGGTTTTCAGCAGTCCACACCATTTGTGCACTGGATATTGAGCAGATAGTGGTTGGTTTTGGGGTAGACCTGGCCAAACAGCAAGGAATACTGTTCTTTCAGCAGTCCACACCATTTGTGCACTGGATAGTGGGCGGATAGTGGTTGGTTTTGGGGTAGACGTGGCCAAACAGCAAGGAATACTGGTTTTCAGCAGTCCACACCATTTGTGCACTGGATAGTGATTGGGGCAGACCTGGCCAACAGTCCAAACCATTTGTGCTACTGGATATATCTTGACACATCTTAACCCAACGCCTGCAACCACCAAAATCATGGGAAGGGCTTTTACAGCCAGGATAACAGTTTTTTTGTAAAGATTTTGGGGTAGATGTTTGGGGTATGTGCCCAACGTTCATGAATATAGAATGATGATATATGTAATATTAATATATATATATATATATATATTAATATATATATATATTAATATATATATATTATATTATATGTTAATATGGTATATTGATGATCTTAGAGAGTAGGAATCTTACTCAGAATTCTGGAAGCTTGACAACACTCCCAGCTATCTTCGGCTGCAAGACGCCATTCCAGCCATGTGATGTAGCAAACAGTGCCTGCCTGACGCCTGTGTAATCTGGGCTGCTGCCCCTCTGGTCCAACTCACAAGCAACTCACTTCTCACCATGAATCGTCTTCCACTTCTCTGCAGAAAACAGCTTCTGGAGTCGTTTTGACCGACTGCAATTGCATAGGCCAGCGGCCACAGGTTCTATCAGCTTCTGGTGTCGAACACCCGGCAACGCACTCGTGTCGGCAATCAATCACACATTGCTCAAGCAACAACCTGCTGGGCAAGGCATGTTCCAGTTTCTCTCGCAGCCGACAGCCGGGGCCCAAGGAAGGAACGCACACCTCAACATTCCTTATATACATAGTTTCTTTCCACGAGCTTTGCTCAAGACCATTGTACATCTCTCCTGGTATGATACTCAACTTCCTTCTGCTGATAGTACTCAGTGCAGCCATCTGATTCCATCTGCCCGCACTGGAAATCAACAGCGACTGCATCGATCATCATTGCCCGACCGCAACTCCACACGATCTCCGACGCATGCCCGTGTGCGATGAGCACATACATTCTCCGACGGTTTGGGTCGGACGGTACGACGTATCGGCAACGCAAATCAATGCACACCGACCGCAACTGCAGCACTCAATTTGTTCGGTTGGATGGCCAACGGACCGTCGGGGCTTGTTTCGATGCTCCGACGGTGTCGTGTTTTGTGCGAGCTACAAGTCGCATGAATGCATGATGAAGTCTACACTGTCATGGGACGAAGGGCGAAGCAAAAGCCCAAAACAACTTTGCCCAAGAGGTGCGGCGTGTCCCACAGGGTGACACGGTCAAAGTTTCATCCCACTTTAGTTCTCATTTTGAGACCATTTTGCCGCTTCCATGGATTGAATGCATCCCACAACAAGCTATGCAGCTAAGCTATGCAGGCATTCCAACATCTGGAGAAAACCCGCCCTCCCGAAACCCACCATCCGTTTTGAGCGCCAGACCCCCCGCTGAGCGAAGCCCGACTTCGTGACCTCGGACGGCACATGGCGTTTGTCTAGGATGTTATTGATGTTATAGACGTCTTAAGCCTCTAAGTTAGCCACATTTGATCTCTATTAGAACAGTTTATATAAAGTATTCAGGATGAGCTGCGCACATACCATCAAAATGCCAAGGACTTCAGCAAGCATCTCACACTCCCCAAGCATGCCTCTATCTTCACCCGCTTGGAACATCTACATTTTTTGAAACAGTCTGGTAACAAGCCTGTTTTCACGGGGTTCGACGTCACGCATGGGCGGGGGGCATGAACCATTTTATAAAGTATTTTATAAGGTACCTTAACCCTCCCCATTTCATAGTGGAAATTCACATGGCTATGCTACAAGTATTTCCTGAAGAAAGTGGACAACAACTCTTCGACAGCTATAGTAGCAGCCGCAAGACATCAATTGAGAACCACTGAATGCTGCCACAAGTATGCTGCCAAGCTGCGTGGATGTGCTTTGCCAAGCATCTTTCTCGCGGCAAGTGCTCTCCTCGATAGCAGGCCTCGATGTGCTTTGCCAAATCCAAGGCAGCGAAAGACTTACTGCGCACTTCCGAAAATGCCATGCAAAGCATTCACAAAACCCTACAGCTGAATCGGCGTAGATGTGGACGGATGAAAAGGGGTATGTGGACTGTGTGCACTACATCGGACGAGCAGAAGCAAGGGAGGTGGGAGAGATCTACCTTGTTAAAAGTTAAAAGGTGGTGTGAAGGTGAGTTGTATAACTACCAGTACTTCCTGTTGCTAAATCATGCAACATCTACCGACTACCCACACCCCATCATCCACAGGCAGCTCTCAACAATGCCTCAAGCATGAGCTCCAGCTGTGTCCAAGCTTGAGTGGTCACCGGCCTCGGTGCTTCGTTTTCTTTCTTCATCTGTCCATCTTGGACTGTTCCAAACAAAAACAGGGACGACTTCGGTGTCGAATCGATCGCAAGAGACTGTTCCACCTCATTGCAAGAGAGCGCTTACATGCGTTTACGGGATATCCCAAGCGTTAAATGCATGATTGGCAATCAGATCTGATCGCAAGATCCAGGAAGCAAGCCTTGGAACAGCCATGGTTTCAGATTGACTTCTTGCATTCATAGGACTTCTCCAGGACACCAAGCTATTTGTACAAGCTCTTTGTGGCTAACACACGAAGTCCCGTCTTCATCTGCACCAGGTGCCCGGACGAGCCCGCGATGCCCGCTTTGGATCCAATGGGCACCAAGAGTCTTTGCAAGACCTTGCTTTCCCAAAAAACACATCAAGCGGGTCACTCTGAGTGGAACTCACGGCCGATTGGAAAAGCCGGCGTGGCCGGTCAGCTTGGCCGGCGTGGCTGGCGTGACTGCTCATGACTGCTCTCTGGCCCATGGGGTGGGCATGCCAAGGCCGAAGCACGGCCCAGGGATGAGAGCGCCTGAGGTTCCTCCTCGTGAACGAAGGGCACCTTTAAAGTGGCCTAAGGAGGGAGTCCATAGATGTCCATGGATCTGCTCGATAGACCTGTCTGCACGCTCTAATTTCCACAGGCCTTTATGGCCGTGCCACCCTCAATAAAGAATATGCCCTGTTAGGACAGGTTCCACTACGCCCGGGCGAGTAGGGTCTCCCTCTTTTGAGTAATTCATGGACATCGTATACTGGGTAAACCATCTGTGAAGCAACTTCTTTCACTTTTTGATTCATGCGTAAACTGTCACACACACACCAATCTTTGCAAACATCTGTAAACCCAACTTGGCCACCAACCCATCGCCGCAAGCTTTCTTCCCTGATCAAAGCACCCAGGTCATCGCCTCACTTCGGCTTCTTCGTCGGATGAAATGCGGCCACTAACAACGCTGCTGAAAAGAGCAGCCCACATTTGCTGGGCCACAGCAACATCTTGAACCTTTAACAGAACGACACACACACACACAATGGTGACGTGCTTCTTGTTGCTCCTTCGCTTGCTCAGCCCAGTGAGGCTGTACTGTACCACGAGCTGAAACTGCTGACACCAATGAACTGCACATTGTGCTACCCTCTTTCTGAGGATCCCTGCACACATCAAGTCATGATGATGCGGCTTTCCTCTTGAGTCCCTTCTTGCGAAAGGCCTGTTGTAGACTTAGAAAGGGCTACAACAGGAATTGGCTGAAACAACACCTGCTCTAACGTTGTGAGGAAAAGAATGTTCTGGGCACCTGCGCCTAGTTCGGCGCAATCATGTCACTTGATCTTCAAGACCTTGGGGTCAATCTTTGCGGTGCCACAGGCAGTCTCAAAGTCCTCAGGGTACATGTCTTTCCAGCACTGGAGCACCTGCTTGGCTTCTTCCTTCAATGCACCATGCGCCGCCTGTCCTGCACATGTGGCCGTGGTTTTCAGCAGCTCTGGCAAGTGTGGCACGAGCTCCTTTCCCATGGCCTTGGAGAGCTCGGGCAAGCGCTCGCATGCTCTTTGCTTCAGCAAGTGGTGATGCCTATACTGTGAACAAGCATAAGCCTGCGCCAACATGGGCAAAAGCCCTGAGAGCTCCGTCCTTCTCTGCGAGAGCTCCTCATCCGCGTCCTCTGTGAGCTGGGCCAGCTCAGTGAGGAGATGAATCATGCCCTCCGAGGCCTCCCAGAGTTGGTGTGGCATGTCAGTGGCACAGTTCATGCAACCGGACGTATCTTTCGCCCTCTTCTGCTTGAAGGTCTTTGGTGCCGAAGAACCACAACTGTACATCACTTGATCCGTAAAGGAAGGATCCGACTTCTCCCCCACCGCTGTAGGCTTGGATTTGGGCACGGAAAAGGGCCCGCTGGGTGTGTAGTCCGTGAAGATCTCAGAGTGTTCTGGCTGCATCAGCATCTCGGGCAAGGTCTTCTGCAAGCGTGAAAGCACCTCAGGCCAAAGATCTGGCCAAACCTTCATGGCCGTGGCCAGGGCAGCAGCACCGTTGCGCCGGAGTGATGGAATGTTGTCGGCCATCTGGTCAAACCAGAGCTCCAAGAGCTGGGGCTTGATGTCTTTGCATTCTTCTGGAAATGCTTGTACAAAATGTCCCAAGGCAGTGCTAGCAACATCTCTCACTGGCCAGGACTCATCCCTGAAGGCATCTAGCAAAGCATTGAGCATTCGCTGCACCCGTGCAGATGTGAATTGCTCTCGGAAGGGTGTGGGCGAAGCCGGGGTGCCTGCCACCCGGGCAGCCAACTCGGAGATGCAGTTGCTGGCGGCCTCACGCACCGCATGGTTGGGCGCATGTGCCGCATCGACATAGGCATCCAAGACACGATCAAAGTGGGCCACCAACAACCGGGCACCTCCGGCTGGGCCACACACTTGGCGCCAGGTCTCCTGGGAGAAGAGCCGGACACCTTCAGCGACATAGTGACGATTTAGGCACATCAAACCCAAGAGCTGTGGGTAGAAGACCTCCTTCTGCTCACCTGCCTTGTCATTGAAGGCCCTGGCCGCCACGGATGCGGCATATCGCACCTGACTCCAGTTATCCTTGATGCCGTTTGCAAGGACATCAACTGTCTTTGGTGCCACCAAGACCATGAAAGCATCATGGCTGCAAACATCGTAGACATTCTTCAGTGCAAAATAGGTGTATTCCCGCACAAAGCGGTTCGTATGCTTGGAGCACTCCTGCATCATCTTCAGCATTGACTCATCAATGCGTGGAGTAAAGGCCGCACCACATCCCTGCATCATGGCCTCCAGGGCTCCCATCGAAGTCTCCAGAGATCGCCACCCTTCTGTGTCATGTAGAAACACGGGTGGCGCTGGCGGTGTCTGTGGTGTCGAACCTTCGGGTGGGTAGCCCGAAGTTGAGACGTCACTGGGCTTCGTGCCCTTCTCTCCATCCTCGTCCTCGTCTGGTCGCTTGAACTTGTCCCTGATGTCATCGAGCACGATTTGACCGATCTGGTCGTAGATCCTCAAGCCATCACGCTGGCAGCACTCACGCAAGACCGCTGCCACCGCCTTGCGGACTCGGTATTCGGGATCGATCAAAAGGCGTGGCACGTTTTCCAAGACTTGGGCGCGAAAGCTGGGCATATCCCAAGCCTTGATTGCCTCGGCTGCAGCTTGAAGACCTCCCTGCTTGGCCTCCCAGGACTCCGACTTCATCGTCTCGATGGCCAGCTTCTGCACCTCCTCAGCATCGTAGTGGCCAAGAGCCATGGCCTGAATCAAGGCTTCCAGGGCCCTTTCTCTGGTGAGGCTCTTAAAGTCCTTGAGGCCATCAAAGACCTCAGAGATAGACCTGTTCTCTCCCTCTGCAAGCGTCATTGCGGCAGAAATTGGATCGAGTCTACGATTGAGTGAAATTCTATCCTCTCAGTACTCAGTACATGTATTTTACTTTTCTATTCGGCTATGTTGTAGATTCTAGATGCATGAGTATAATTGAGTATATAAGTTTGGATCATGAGTGAGTATCAAATACTGCCACGGTTCTCGCTTGTTTGTGGCTGAGCATAGAACTTTTTGTGCAGATCCAAACAGCTTCAGTCCGATGACGTGGGCATGGCTTCAGCAGGCTCGGCCAAATTCCACTATCTCAATACCAGTCTCAAATGTATGATCCCTGACGCTTGTGATTCAATGTTTTGGACTTCACGACTTGAGATTTGACCATGTTTTCAATCTTGCCATTTCACGTTTTCGTTGAGCCCATAGCTCTGACAATGCTGATGCCACCTAAACGCTTGATCCTGGCTCGCACGGCTCATGACCCATCAGCTCTGGCTCGGAGTGCCACAGCCTTCGGTCAGTCTTCAGTCTCTTCAGCATGGCTTCCCCGCGTTGTTGCGACTTCATCTTCCAAAGGATTCGCAGCAAAACTTCAGCCAGAAAGCGCCTGGACATCGACGGAACTGGAACTTCAAAAAGGAAGCTCGGCCAAGCGAGACTAGACGGAGAATCGCTTAGATCAGAGATCCAAAGACTCATTCTGGGAGGTTGGCAGTTCTAGTTCCTGAGACAAACTCCGGGACAACCGGAACTCCAACTGCATACCTGTACACGTTCCTGCGCAACTAGGATGCGAGCTCATTCTGCTGGTACTGCTGGAGCTGCCCTTAGATGGACACTCACTTGGAGAAAAATGTTGGTTTGCAAGTTGTTTCGGCATCTATGCATCTGAATGAAGAGCTCACTCGTATCATCTAGAATCCAAAATATGGTGTCACCCTTCCACCGTTAGAATCCAGTGACCAATGGGAATGCCTCAGTGACTTGTCAAAAACGATCACATGGTTAGTGAACAGGTTAAGCCTGCCTGGCGCATCCTGGCGCTTGACATTTCATCAAATTTAAAGCAAGAGTCGAACTTGAGCGACCAATTCTTCATCGCTTTCGGGCAAGTCCTGCTGCAGTTCATGAACAAATGATCTGCTTTAGCCGCTAGCCAGTCCCGGGTATCAGCATGCAAAGCAAAGCAAGTCTACCCCAAAGATCCCCAAAGTGTGTCGCATGGAAACCTCGCACTCAATGAGTTTATGTCAAGAATAGGACCCCTTGCACGTCTTTTTGACAAGAACTTGCAGTCTTCAGCTTACATCGTCATATGGCACATGTGGTCGAGCTCCTGCATCGACACAAGCTGCTCGACCTGCACATCAGTGATATCAGTGGACTGCCCACGGACAGCATGCATCCATTTTGTATCTTTATCTACAGTGCTGTGTGACGGTGGTTTTTGCTCACCTGGCTCAGTTAGATCATGTATTGTGTGGGCTTCTACAACCCGTCCATACCTGTCCCTTGATTGATGGTGTGGAAGGCCTTGTTGGACATTCCACTGAGCTGCGTCAAGGCCTTGTCGATTGAACTGCCTAAATGACAAGCAGGCAACTGTCTGCAAAGCAAAGGGCTAGAGCGGCTTGAGTCTTTGGTGAGTGATGGGAATAGCTTCCAACTTTCTTGTGCCCGCCCATCAACTCTCATTTTTGGGGAGATCCACCGTTGGAACTCATGCAACAGGTCCACAGTTGTGAACTCTTTTGGACACGTTTCCTGCAGTATCCTGGGCAAACATCTTTTCGGATACTCAGAGCCAGGCCATCGGTGAATTCTTTGGTGCGGCACATCCTTGGATTGCGAAGATCCATCAAACCGTGCATGAATCAAGAGAAGAGGCATGAACTAACATGAATATGCCTGCTTTTATCAGACCCACCCACGGACGTCTGGAATTTCCAGCTTCAGCCAGGTGTCACATAACTCAAGTTGAGCCAAGCGTCTGCCATGCAACTGTCACCTCAATTCCACGTGCCCTGGATTGGATCATCCCGACAAAAACCATCAACGCAAAAAACAAATCTGCCGCAACTGCGAGGGGGTTGTGTTTGGTATGGATTCGCAAGGCCGGCCCTAAGAAAGAAGGCTTCATTTCAAATCAATTCTAATCATATGATCTACTTGAAAATGAGGTACCAACAGTGAAGCCACGCTTCAAACATATCGGCACCTTAGACCTTTCCAGAGTTCATGGCCTTTCCAGAGTTCGCCTGCATCCCTCTCAGTGAAGGGCCAGTAGATGCACCACTCGGAGGGCCTCGGGACCTTTGTTCCGGGATCGTGACAAATAAGCAGAATATGAAATGATCCAAATACCGGTCATTAGGATAGCCAACCTTGACATGCTCCAGAACAATCCAGAATAATACTGTTCCATGCGTCTATCACTTCGACGAACGGCTGAAGATGGTGCTCAAACTCGGTCAGTGGGGCATGAACACGCTTGGGATTCCGCGGATGACGGCGGATTCGGCTGAGGAAGTCACTGAAACTGAGGTTCACCAGCTTGTGCGAGTGGCAAAGCGGCCACAACTGGGCCGAGGCTTCCGCGCCGCGGAAAGCGCCACGGGAGTCGCGTCCGGTCGGCCCCTCTTGTCTGGTCCGCTGGTCGGTGTGAAGGAGAGAAGGAACGCGTCTGCAGCGACTCAAGGCATCTTAACATGAAGAGAAACATGAAGTATGACTCGGTCAACCCCCTTCGGTAACACTGCAAGGAACACCCGTCATCCGTTTTTTGCACACGGCTCCTCAGTGATTACATGTAATTACTCAAAGAATGCTTTTGCACATTTCGCCTATGTGGAAACCTTTAGCCCTTCTGGTACGTCCACCACACCTTCAGTCAACCAAGGCACAAGGTATCGTCGGGGCCTGCACTTGGCGAGGTTTTGTCAGGACATCTCAGCGATCAAAGTGCAAAACACAATTCGCCCTATGTCTATGTGCAATGGAGTGGGACTGTAGCTGTAATCTTATGAAACGATGTCTGATGTGTGTCTTCTCGCTTGGAAGTCAGCAGTCGTTTTGTGTCGTTGACGCAGCTGTGAGTCGTCTGCTCTACACCAAACGTCGTTTCAAACATCCTTAGCATGCTCAATGAGATTTGTTGGCTAGCCACAGTAAGGGCATGCCCTCTGACGCAACCCCCTGGTATCCGGTGGCTCCAACTCGTTCCCCATTTCACTCTCACATCGACATCTTGGATGTTCTTACTTCCGCCAAAATGTCGTTTCCGAAAACTAAACATGGACACCCAGAATAGGATTCCACGGATGTGTTTTTCTGATTGTTGAAGCCTTTAGCCGTTGAATCATGTTGCAGCTGATTGTTGCCGCTGGTTGGGTTGCTTTGCATCATGTGTTGCGAGGCTGATGCCAGGTCGCATGACTCGTGTATCAAGACTGAAGTTTCTCGAAGCCGATGCCAGGTGGATGTTTCTCGCACTCGCACTAACCTATATATATATATAATATACTGCCACATATTTACATGCACCAATCTACAACCAAAATTTGGCAAAGATAATTAACTATAAATATATAGGTGGCACCGACGTGTTTTGTGTTCTTTCGTGTTTGGAGCCACTGACTTCCTGAAGGAAGCACAGTGACAAAAACCTGGCACTCCTCGTGCCTCAACGTGAGGTCCGCCAGGGTCACCGGTGGCTCTGAGGGATCTCTGGCCGTTGGAAAGACCATGACCCAAGACCTGCCAACCAGTGCTTCCGTCCGTGGCCCCGCTTCGCGCTCGGTCAAAAGCGCTTCGTAGGCGATTGGACCGAATCGGCGCATCCACTCCGTTTTGAATCGGCGCGTTTTCCTTTCACCTCTTCTCTTGGGAGGGCGAGATCAAACCAAATCAAACCAGAAAGGCCTTACAAAGCCGAAAGGGATCCCCAAGAGTAACCGAATGGAGTCACGACTGGGACCGGCACTGCATGGATTTGACCAACTGGAGACGAACTGGAGACTAACGATGGCGGATGTTTGAAGGCGGCCCGTTTTGTCCGGGGACAAAACTGTCTTGGGAGAGATCCTGAGACTCTGACAAGTCCTCGGCTTTTCGCAAATAACAGCCATCCATTGCCAGGACCGGAGTAGGTGCTCGATCAATGAACTGCCATGCCTCCCACAGCAGCGCATTGCAGCGACAATTGGAGAATACCATGCAAATGGTTGTGCGCAGTTTGAGCGATGCACCTCCGCGTTGGTTGCAAATGCCTTCCACACCTCTCCCTCTTCCTCTGCAGTCCTGCTGTGTCTGGAAATGATGAGGTTCGTAGTAGTGATGGCCTTCAACCTAATAGCGATGGCCTCCAACCTAACCTACTAGTGATGACCTCCAACATCTCCAACCAAGAAGCGATGGACTTCATGACAAACCCCGGATATTGCCACTGATCTAAGGCCCCCAATAACGAACGTCCTTGCTTTGCTAGCTTGGCTCCTGGCTGCTCTGCAGGCTTATCACGGACATGTTCGAACGCTTTCCAGCTCCAAACACAAATGCACAAACACGTGTTTGCCAGCATTCCGAAGTATTACAGTATAAAGTTATGTTTGCTGGAAGAAACTTGAGTCTCTGACAGGCGGTAGAAGCCACAGCTCTTTGGTGAGTGCCACAAAACTGGCTCTAGCCTTGTCTCACCAAGCTCCCCAGCCGCCGTGTAGAGCGTGACTCATGCTTGAGAGTTACAACAAATGTCAATCCATTTCTCTGGAGACCCTCTGAAGCAAAAAGCATGTGATAGGTCACTCTGCATGCGATTATCTCTCCGATTCTCTATGTCTCAGGAGAGCACCCTGGTCGAACTCGTAGTGCGGCATGTAGGTACTGTGATTGCCTCACTTCAGGCTTCAGGTGGCTCATTGACATGCTGATCCAAACATCTTCAAACCATCTGACAGGCTCCCCATGGCTCGCTATTTCTCTCAGTCAATGTGCACCAAGGATACTCTCAGCTTCTGACTCTGAGACGATTTCCACCACATTGGCCGCGGAGATCACTGGGCATGGCTCCTTCCAATCGGCACC